AGTGGCGAGGCACTTACCTGGCTATGGTAGACACCATCTTCATCTCCTTGCTAGGCGCTGCATCGGGAAGGCCCCGTTGGGGTTGTCCCGCATCAAGGAAGCTCGGGACAGAGTCAGGCATGGTGGCTGAGTGGGCAGCGGCATAGCTGCATGGTGATGACCTTGAAGTGGGGCAGTGGCATAGCTGCTTTGGGTTGTCCTTTGGACAGGAGGCTGAAGCCTCAATAGTCCACCATAGCCTCGGCCTGAATGTAGAGGAAGAGGAAGGGTTGCCATGGCTATGGTGGGCCTCATGTTGTGCCTGCAGTAGAAGTGGGATTCGGACATTGATTCTGGTTCAGTCATTCAACATTATTATTGTTATTTCTTGTTTGAATAAGAGGGAGGAGATAAGGAGGAAGGGATTGGTTGGCGAAGAAGAAAAGCCTTGACATTGGTCTATGCTGGAGTACATCATCATCTTCTTCTTTCTCACTTCTTCTTCTTCTTCTTTCCCTCTCTTTCCTCTCAAGTTCATTCATTTCTTTTGCAATTGGATGGCATTGTACTTTCAGATGAATGTATACTTCGAATTTGGCCAGGATCGTAACATTGGTATCAGAGCGGATTCTACTTGCTGGCGAGAGTTGACTTTGCTCCCATAACCCTAACCCTAGTGGTAAGGGCTAACCACTTAGGGTTAGGGCTGGAAGTTAGGGTTAAGTGAGGCAGTGTGGTTAAGGGAAGCTGCTCCCACCTGGCAGGGCCGTGTAGGGTCGACACTAGACCCGACCAGGTTGTTTGAGTGCATGTTTGTGGTGGCGAGACACAAGGTGGAACTTCGTGATGCAATTTGAGAGAGGCGACAGTGAAGGGCACCTACAACTTGAATCGGGACTTCAAGGAAGACGAGGAGTGACTTTAGGGATCCCCTCAAGTCAGGCGAGCTTGAGGGTGGCAGCCATATCTGCACCTACGGACTGCAAGTTGTTGCTTTGATCTTCAACATTGACGGGGGATCCGGCTTTGTACTCTGGGGTAGATGTTGACCCTCCTAGATGATAGGACACAAGTGTAGAGGATGCTAATTGGGTCAGGAGGACTATGTGAGAGGGGGGTGAGTTCTTTTTCATCTCAAGAGCCTGGCCACTCAGGTAAGTGTCGTGCCACCAGGGTGCCCATGTGTGTGTGCGTGGAATCGACTGCGTGTTGGGGTTCTCTGGGTTCTTCTTCCATCCTCCATAGTCTTGATTGTGTGTGAGGTGTGTGAACTGCCTACTTACCTGATGAGTGAATGAATGGAGTATCTTGTTTGCCATGTGATCTCTCTCTACAATGCTTTGTTTATTTCATTCTGAACGGCTACTAGTGCCTGGCAGACTAATATTGGCTAAAGTAAAAAACAGGAAAATAGTAGAGAAGATAGGCATTGTACTGACTAAACCTCCATAATATTTAACAAGTCGGGTTTTATGTCGATCATATAAAGCACCTACACATAAAAAAAGGGCTGAAGAAACCAGTCCATGACTTAACATGAGTAAAATACTACCTTCAATTCCTTGTATATTGTAAACAAGAGAAAGAGAGAACAGAGAAGCTTCTGAGAGTTGCTCTTGAGGGAGTGAGGAGCGGGAAGAGGAGTGTTCGTCCCAAAAGTGTGAGGTGTAGGGGCCGTACCCTGAAGGACTTTCGAGTCTTAGTCGACCCCACTGCGGGTCCCATTTGGCTTTACCCGCCCACGCTCACGCTCAGGGCGCGGGTCGTTCGTCCCAGGGGCTGGTGATGGAGGTGGAAGAAGGTAAGTGAAGGTTGGCTATGGTGGAAGGGTGCGGGTGATGGAGGTGGAAGAAGGTAAGTGAAGGTTGGCTATGGTGGATGGGTGCGGGTGATGGAGGTGGAAGAAGGTAAGTGAAGGTTGGCTATGGTGGATGGGTGCGGGTGATGGAGGTGGAAGAAGGTAGGTGAAGGTTGGCTATGGTGGATGGGTGCGGGTGATGGAGGTGGAAGAAGGTAGGTGAAGGTTGGCTATGGTGGATGGGTGCGGGTGAT